TATAGAGAGGTGTATCGAGAAAGTTATAGCTCATAGCTTTCCTTCTGATTTTTGAAGGAATCTTATATTAGTTATAGCTCGTTATTGTTCAGAAATTGCGGAATAAATTGTTCTGAATTCGTACCACATCATAAAAAAATAGGAAATTTTAATATAGAATGTATTATTCTCTCTGCACAAAGAAAGATGGAAAGGGCGAAACCGAACTGCTTTGATAGTTTTGCGCGTACATAGGCAACAAGCATATTAAAAAATAACATAAAAGGACTGTGGTTTTTACTTTTACAAGAAAGGAGGTACTAGAAAATGTAATACCCATCAAGATCCATTCCTGTTTAGTGTACCAAACAAATTATACTCAAGAATCGTAGAAGCTGGAATAAGAAATATTGTCGATTGCCAGAGTGATATGGATTGAGAAACTTAAGTTGCACATTGGAAGAGAAGTTGAAAATTGGGACTGTCCTCACTTTAAGGCAGGATATAGAGAAGTCCACATAAAAAGAAAAATAGCTCTCTATCTGCTTAGTGCCTCACACTTTGGATTATGCTAATATCTAACTGTCTTTCAGAAAAGCTCGTTTTCCTTTTAGATTCCTTAAAAAATTTTTTGCAAATGCACTAAACAGAAGGAAAGCTATGAGCTATAACTTTCTCGATATCTTGAAATATTCTGTTCATCTTTTTACTAAACATTCATTTAGCTATATAATGGATACTGGTCCTTTTTATCTATTCCGAGGTTTTGGTACTTTCTTTCTCGTTCCCTTAATGTATTATCCGCGTTTTTCCTCATTTTGAGATCAAATCCAAACAATCAGCTTTGGTTTATAGAAGAACTTATAGCATCACCCCTTCTATCTTGCTTTGTGCATAGAGAATAATTCATTCAATATTAAAATTTCCTATTTATTTATGATATAGCCCAACTTCTGCACAAAATAAAGGAAATAACAATTAATTTTTTAATTAGTGATATATGAGTTTTACTAAACAACCCGGTAGCTATTCATTATATATAGTTCAGTTTAGGTATATATTATTTTAGTTTATAAAAAAGGTATTAATATGACTCATTTCCTGTGAAGTATATAAAAATTTCAATTACTTCTAAGAATCACTAAACACAGTGTTAAATTGCAAACGTTAAATAAAAAAAAGTCAAGATATTTAGCAAAGTATTTTTTAATTAACTTTTATTATTATAATTATATTATTTTTACAATTGAGGTCTTCTTAAACGACCTACGTACAGAATAAAGGAGGTTAAATTAAAAAAAAAATAATAATAAATTTTTTTTTTAATTTTAATTTTTTTTTTACATTTAAATAATTGAATTAATATTTGTTTGTTAATTAAACCAATATAATGTACCAAAAATGTTATTATATCACTATAACTAAGCCATTTATGGGCACTGAATGGTGTGGTAGAGGCCTGTAGGCACCCACGCCAGTACCGCTTTTCTGCCGCATAAGTGCATTTTCTACGGAACTGCTTAAACATTTGTAAAAAATAATCAGCGTTTTAGAAAGAGAAATATATTCTCCAGATGGTTTATTTCAGCACGTTTTGCGTTATTGTAGGCCGTTTAATTACAAACGACGCTTGATTTGTAACTTGAAAATTTTTTTGTTAAAAAAATTGACTTTACTGGTGTTTTTCATAGCCTAAGCCAATTATTTTTTAATATTTCTTCATGTTTTATTATTCTATAACTATTCAGCTTTAATAAAAGACCAACTATGAGGAAATTAAGCCAAATGCTGATTCTCATTGACCAAAAAACTAACTAAAGTCAAAGTCGTCAATCCGCCATCTTTGGACGCCATTTTGGGGCAGTGCGTTCACTTTTTTTTGTGGGAACATTGGCTTTTTTTTAATAAATAGTTACAAGGAACACAACGATATGCAATTTATTGGGATGTGGGGGGGGGTGCACGGTAAGGGGGTCTGGCCCACCGTGTATAAGTATTATATTGTCTTACATCTAACCATAACTAGATTTTTATTTCAATTTTTCTTCCTTATTACTCAATAGTTATTTTTCTTTTGAATTTTTCTTTCACTTTCTATTAACTTTCGTCCAATTTTACATAATTTTCTGAGTAATATATCTCTCATACCTATTTACGCTTCCAGCGCTTTAGTTCAAACTTCGTCGGATAACCGTTAGAGATGACGCCACCTACACATCTCTTCTCTCTCCCCCTCCCTTGTAACGACTTTTATTCTCCCTGCGACACTTAAGGAGACAGGCAGTACTTCTTTTATTTATTTCTTATATCAGCTTTCTCAATTTCTTCCCTCCTTCCTTTCATTCCTTTTCTGTGTTTTTAACTCTTTATTATATTATATATTGTCTGTACATCTTGATAGACTTTACAATATCTTAATTTTCTATCTAACTACTCCATTCTCAATGTTTTAATTTTACTATTTATTTTCATTTCTTATATAACTTCATATTTCTTTTTTATGTTTTACATTTTATTCTAAGATTCCCATTGTAACACTTTTGTCACCCTTTTTGATTATGCCTACTTCATCATTCCACACTTTGTAACGGTTTTTATTATTTATCTCTTAGTTCTTAGTCATTATTCTAACAATTTCATTTTACTTTATATTTATCTATTTTATTTTTCTAATTTCTTTATTTTATTTTTTATTATCTTTTTTACCATCATTACTTATGTTTCTCATACCTTGTTATCTGGTTATTTTCTTAGCCCTGATGAAGGCCTGAACTTCAGGTCGAAACGTCGGCATATGTAAAAAATAAATATTATCATTTATTTTTGCCTTCCTTTTTGACTGACCACCCCAACTATTCTTCTCTTCATTATCCACGACAGTCAACCAATTACCAATTATGAAAAGAAATTACATATCTATATATACATAACTGCACAATTTATAAACAATATTAACAATATATACATACATATATATATATATATATATATATATATATATATATATATATATATATATATATATATATAATATATATATATACATACATATATAATAGAAACATAATTTAATACAAAATGTAATAATATTTACAATGATTCATACAATAATAAGCTAACACTAAGATAAAATAAAATCTCAGGAATAATTGTGGTATAAAGGTAAAAAAGGAACTATATATACGTACTTACTCATATTGCTACACAGTGAGACAAAAAGTACATGAAAGAAAAAGCACAACCTGAGGTGAAGAGAAATACAAATAAATAGTAAAAATAATAGTCAAAAATCATTGCTGTTTTATGTTAAATAGCCAAATATACCCATAATCCATACACACATAAAAAAATTAAAAACTATTCTAATATATATTTAGAATATGTCCCATGTCCCATTGACCTTAGGAAGGATCCGTAGGAGGAAATCTAAAAATATCCGTTCCAGGGGGAATGGACATCCCTAATTATCATTTCATTCTTCATCTCTCTTCCAGTGATGTAAGTTTTTAGTTTTTCCTTACTATTACAGAAACCTCTGATTTCGCTCTCTTATATCTCTGAATGCCCGACCACAAATGGATAAAGTCTCCTGTTTCTTCGCTAGCATTACATTTTGGTGTCGCATCAGACAGAACAGTGATGTCCTTTATATCAGTAATGAAAATTATATTGTGTAAAATTGTAGAAATAAATGTGGACTGTTGATCGGAATAAGACCCCGAAACGTCCCCAAAACTTTAAAATGATAGGTTATTTGTGTAACTAATAAAGCTTAAATAAGGAATTGAAAAGTTTATTGTTATTATGGAAAGTATATGATATTTTACAGTTGTAAAAATCTATAGCCAACAATTATCAATTTAAAATTAAGTAAGTTCCGAAAGCATATGTATTTACCCTGAATTTTACTTGAAAGGCGTCAACCTGCATATTAAAAAGCATTTTACCAAAAACTATCAGTATAAAAAGAGAGAAAAATGACGTATCGCCCTTACCGATGTGCATTGTCCCGTCCTTCATTCCAATAGGCAATTAAGTGTTTCTTATTATTATTTTGAAAATAATTTATACTATATTTTTGCATTTGTTCTCCACGGATTTCTGGTTATTGTTCGGGATATTTATTCCCATCTTTGGAACTGCAATCCCAATAATCTTGTGGATGCAAGGCTAATTTTTTTTCTTTTTTTAGTTATAATATTGTACTTGTTATATTACATGTTTGAATTTTGTTGTTACAATAAGTTATTATTAATTTTAATGTAATTACAAATTTATTGTAACAACAAAATTCAAATATGTAATGTAACAAGCACAATATTATAACTCAAACAAATTTTAGCCTTGCATCCACAAGATTATTGGGATTGCAGCTCCGAAGATGGGAATAAATATCCCTAAACGTCAACTAACTTGTTAACATGTAACGTTGATAATAGAAATATACTCAATTGTTAAGAATTGGAAGTTATTATTGCCAAATAACTAAAAATTTAATTTTTATGTCTTTAGAACAGTCAGAAATAAATGAAAAAAAAAATGTTTTTTTTTTTAATATTCAAACTCATAATTTGTTTACGGAGATCTGGTTTGTATCAATTCGCGTAAACTTTAGAATCCTAATTCCCTTATAATTATCAAAATTTTTGTGATATTAAAAAAAAAGAAAAAAGAAGGGTCGACCATAGTGTAGATTTTGAACAAAATATTTACATTTCAACAGAAATAATAATTCATATTTATAATTTTTTTGTGATGTCCAAAAATAATATCAACATTTGTTTCCTAAAAAGATGTTTACATCCACATTGCTCACCTTCTTTTCCAGTGTTTTCTCAGAAATGGATAAAGCACGAAGCAACATCGTAACAATTTTGGATTTTTTTTTTGTGGCTGAACTTCTAGTCAACCATCTCCTAGATAAAAAAAAAATCGTTAAATATTTAAATATTTTTATTTGTTTTACAAGTACCTTATATGTTAATCATGTTAAAAAAATTAATAAACATCGATATTTTCAGAACCTGGGCCTGGCCATTATAATTACTATTCGTGTATCGGATATGTGGGACACGATCCGACGAAAAAAAAAGCACCAAACTTCAGCTTTGGGCTAAGAACAAAGATTCCAGAAAAACGAACAATAACGCCTGGCCCAAAGTACAATCTCAGAGATTTCACGTCGAGGGGAAAAGTAAAACCAATGTCTTTCACCTTCGAAAAGAAGAGACCCCTCCCTCGTAAGTTTTGTTCTCTATGTTTTTAAAATATATTTTATAATTTAATGTAGATGAATATAATTAACAGAAGTTTGCTAAGAACTACTTTTATTTATAAAAGAAATATAACAAGGACCGTTTTATTGCGGCTGCATCAGACAATATTTAACTTCCGGACTTATTCGGTAGAGTTCTTGACTTATAGTTCAGACTAGATTATAGTTATATACTACAAGTCATGAACAATGGTTTTCAAAGTTTGGTGCTGGTAATAATTCACAAATCTGACTTGCAATTTTAAAATAATAATATTATATTAAAAAGTAAAATATTAATTAATTTTATTTAATAATTCAAATCAATTAAAATAAAATATTTTCTCTACTTTATTTACATTTATGGCTTCTAATTTCGTAAAAAATGTTTATTAAAATAACAGTAACAATCAGAGATAATTTTTTCCAACGACTTGTATTTTCCGAGACTTTTCTAGATATAATTGATGGATATTTGAAGTATGTTTCCGTCAAAATGAACCCTAAAGTTTATTTTAACCTTTCTTCTTAGCCGGTTCTTGCATCCTTATCCATAAATCCTTATCCCATTCTCTTATTCCTTCTACTCCAACTGAGGCTATTCAAGTAACCTCGGTTATCATTACAACTCGTCCTTCCCATTTAACACTTTCAGCTGTATACTGTCCTCCTGGTCATATTCTTACCTATAATCTGTTTGAATCCTTATTCCAATCCTTCGGATCGCGCTTTATTGCTGGAGGAGACTATAACGCTAAACACCAAAGATGGGGTTGTCGAGCATCCAACTCCCGTGGTAATATACTATCTTCTGTCTCAACTTCTAATAGTTACTCCATCCTATGAATCCTACCTATTGGCCAACCTCCCTCAAAAAATGACCTGATATCTTGGACATATTTGTCACCTCCCAGATCTCCTCTTCCTACGTCACTATCAAATCCCTGGATGACCTCTCCTCAGATCATAGTCCAGTTCTGCTTTCATTACATTTGACTTTTGTTCCTAAGCCCTCCTTTTCTCCTTCACTTATTACAGGACGAGTAAACTGGGACAAATTTCGTAAAGACTTGGAAAATAAATTGGACCTAAATATTCCACTTAAGACGAAAAATGACATTGACTCAGCCATAGAAGTACTTACTTCATCTATAAGTGACAAAATTAACGATAACACATCAACCAATAAAAATAACAACTCCCAACAGACTAACTTGCCACAGCACATTCGTATCTTATTTAGGAAAAAACGCAGAGCCAGATCGAAGTGGCATAGGACTAGATACCCATCAGACAAGTCATATTACAACAAGTTAACTAACCAACTAAAAGCTGAGATTAGGAAATACAGAATCCAAAGTTTACTTTACTTAACAGAAAATCTAACAATACTGACAAATCACTATGGTTGACCACTAAAAAGCTCTTAAAATTCAAAGATTTTAACCACCCACTTCTTAGTGTAACCCAAACCTGGTCTAGATCTGATGAAGAAAAATCTGAAATATTTGCTCAGTACCTCTTCAAAACATTTAATCCACACCCAGATATCCTGAATCCAATCCACCTTGAGTGTATTGAAGCAGAACTCGATATTCCACTCCAATTGACCCTTCCACCTAAAGCATTTCATCCTTCAGAAATATCCAATATCATACACAGATTATCTTCCCAGAAAGCTCCTGGCCATGACCTAATCACATCCCAGATCCTAAAACTGCTTCCTCAGAAAGCCTTATAATTCCTCACCTATATATATATAATGCGGTACTCCGAACCACATATTTTCCTGACTCTTGGAAACTATCCATAGTCAAAATGATACCGAAACCCACAAAGCCGCCAGAATACCCATCCTCTTACCGCCCTATCTCTCTTTTACCCATTATGGGCAAAATCCTAGAAAAACTCATCTTAAAACGCCTGTATCCCATCCTAGATTCTAATAACATAATCCCAGATCACCAATTTGGATTCCGTACATCTCATTCCACTATTCAGCAATGTCATATCGTGTGGTAGACGTGGTTTCCTCTGCATTGGAGCGCGGAATGTACTGCACGGGAGTCTTTCTCGACGTTGAACAGGCGTTTGATAGAGTCTGGCATCCGGGACTGATGTACAAACTCCGTAAATTCCTACCACCTACATACTTCCTCATTATCCGTTCCTACCTTAGTGATAGATACTTCAAAGTAAATCACAAAAATGCCTGTTCATCTCAATTTGCTGGTTCACCTCAAGGTAGTATCCTAGGTCCTATCCTTTACACAGTTTATACAGCTGACATTCCAACCCATCCCAACACTGTCATTACCACCTATGCCGATGACACGTGTATCCTATCAGTTAACAACGATCCATCAATTGCATCCCAAACTCTCCAATCACACATCACAAATCTTGAAGAATAGTGTCAAAACTGAAGGATTAAAATAAACTCCAATAAATCCCATCAAATTACCTTTACCATGCGTCGCAAACCTATGACCTGCTGTCCTACAGTATTCTTTAACAATTCCCCACTTATCCCAGTTGAACAAATCCGTTACTTAGGACTCCACCTCGACAAACGACTCACATGGAATCCTCATATAAGACTGAAACGACAAGAAACTGTTCGACGTTTCCGACTACTCCAACACTTACTAGACAAACGCTCTAAGTTCACAATCAATTACAAACGACTCATATATATGACAATAATAAGACCTAATTTTACTTACGGAATTGAGCCTTACAATCCAAAATCCTTCGTAAAATCCTCAACGCTTCTTACTTTGTCACAAACAAAATAATCCATAAAGACCTTAATGTTCCATATGTTTCCGATTTGGCCCAATCCAGATACCTATCCTTCTATAAAAAACTGCAGAACCATCCGAACCCTCTTGTTTCAAACATTGCTTCCTCCTCTTTCCCTGATAACCCTCCGAGGCGTCTGAAAAGAAGATGGCCTCGGGATCTTCTAATATAGAACTTTAAGTTGAGTTCTAACAATGGGTAGTTTCTCTTCATATTTTACATGTCATGTTAACAATGTCACATTTACTTGTTGTATTTTTAATGTAATACAGTTGTAAATTTCATTAAAATTAAAAAAATAAAATATATATTAAAACCTTATAAGTAAAAGTTAAATAAGGTACTCGCTACTCAAGTAGAATGATACACAAAGGGTAATTAAATTAATCATATAACCAAACATTGCAAACTAAGAAATAAAAAGATAAATAAATATATTACAACTTCTGTTATTTATATAACTGATATTATTTATTTATTTATATATATATATATATATATATATATATATATATATATATATATATAATAATATATAAGGAATTTTAAATCGAATCAGTGCCAGGCCAAACATAAATGGATTAAGGTTAAACGCTGATAAAACTCAGGTCATTATCATTGGTCATCATCACTCCTCCTCAAATCCAATACCAACATTCATATTCTGTACCTTAATGACCATCCCATCCCTGTTATATAGCTAGGCATTTCCCTTGATCAAACCCTCTCCTGGAATCACCATGTTGCCCACATCTCTCGACGGTCAATTTGTACCCTTAAGCTATTCCATTGCTTCCGCCATCTCCTAATTATACCCACGCGTAGACCCCTAGCGCCTTCCCTTCTTTCCTTCTTCATCCTTCCCCACCTTGACTACGGTTACGCGGTGAACAGTGGTCTCTCGTTGGAACTCGGGGACAGACTAAAAAGAATTATGAATAGCTTCGTAAGATTTGTCTATGGAACCCCATGATGTTGCCACTACTATGCTAAGTTAGGGTGGCTCTTCCGCTCCTTCAGAAAACAATACTTCATAACATCCCATGTATACAATCTCCTCCAATTTAAATCATGTATCCACTCCATCTCTATAAGATCTCTGACATTTACACACCTTTCCACAGATCTGCTTCATTTCATTACTCCTTTATTGTCAGTTTCACCACTTTTTGGAATTCCATCCCGCTTAAAATCCTTTATGTATCATCCTTATCCACATTTAAAACCCTCTCATTACAATTCCTCTTCACCATTCAATCAGACGCAGGCTAATTGTTTATTAAGTAAATAGATTTTATTTATTTATTTTTTTATACTCAACTTTTTTTTATGTAACGGAAAATATTCCTTATTACTTTAGATTTAACATTGTGGTGAAGAAGGGAAAGAGAAAAGAAGTTGTTTATTTTTTTTTCCATTTACAAGATTCTATGTATTTGAGATGTATTATATTTTTTAATTTTTTTTATGATTTGGAAAGAATCCGTATCACTTGTGACAGGAAATTGTGGGGGAAAAAAGAAATTGTTTGTTTTTATTTAACTTTTTTGGATTTCTTAGATTCTATGTACGAGTAGTAATTCAAAGCTCTTAAGTAACATATGTAAATAATTTATTTTCTTTAACTTAGATATTTTTTTGTTTTTACCGCTACAAAGGTTTTCTCATAAAATTAATTTAATATCCTTTTCCATTTGTATTTTTCTACTTATTGTTATTTCATTTCTCTTATACCGCGATAGTGCAATATTGTGATCCCATTGCTCATCTGCTGAAAGCAAGATTAATGATTAAGATAAGAATGATTGATGAAATTAATATATCTTTAAGCTATATTTCTATGTTTTAAAAGTTTTAACATAAAATGTCAATATTTTTTCTTTACTTACTTTGATGCTTTTATTTTCTGTAGGTTTTGCTTTTTCTTTCTATATATGTAAAGTTTTTCTTATTTTTTTTCCATTACAACTATAAGTATTCTTGAGAAGATTTTATTTAATTGTTTAGTTGTCTTTAAACTATTATTTAAATTATTGTATATATTGTGAGAATCTTTATTAAGTCAGTTTTTGGCCAGATATGTATTTTTTCTATTATATTTGTTCATTATTGTTATTCTAATGAGTCTTTGTCCCAGAATAAAGTTTATTCTATTCTATTCTAATTAAACATAATAGTAGTCTTCGCCACCATTATTATCTGCATGCCGCTCTACAGAATCAGGATCGAATCGATTTATGCATGTGGAATTTGGTCTTCCGACCACTTGGTCTTGTCTAATGTTGTGGCATTCATTGCTGTGTAGATTCTATCCGGTGGATTGTTCAGAGCTTTATATCCTGCGCATCTTAGCCTCTTTGCCTTCATATCATGAGATATTAATTGGCCATTTTCAGCAAGCAGTTCTTCATTGATCCATCCCTTCTAAGCGTTAGTGGTCTGATACTGGATCAGTTCGATTACCGTGGGGATAGTTATTTCCTAAAATCTTGCAATTCTTTTTTTATTAATATCCAGGTCTCGCAGCAGCACATCAGAATGTATCTGGCTTTATCATATCAGTATACTCTCTTAATTTGAGATTACCAGAAGTTTTGCAAGGTTTCAATAACTTTAAAAGAGAGAATAAAACTCTATTTGCAGTTGTTATAAGCTGGTCTATTTCTGACCATTCAATCATTGAGGTTATTGTGTATCCGTGGTATTTGAGTTTGTCTACTTTCGGGAATCATTACCTTCCACGCAGGTCCTGTTGTTGCGGTAGCATTTTCGGCTTATTATCATATATTATATTTTGTCTTCATTTATTGTATGTCGACCTTCTCTTATAGAAGTCTTAGCGAGAATCTCGCTGTCCTGTTGATTGCTTCTAGGACTTATATCTTGTACATATCCAAAAATTTTATGGCCCGTTCCGACGTGCACTCCTCCCTCTTCGTGTTATGTTCTTATCACCTTCTTCAGCGTTAGACTGAACATTATCGACGAATATCTCTCATTCTGTTGCAAACGAGTTAGAACTTTGAAAGCTCCAGATACTCCTCCTTGTATTAAGATTAGACATTTAAGGTCATTTGTACACGCCTTCGTCAATCTTTCCAATTTACCGGAAACCCGCGGTTCAGTAATACGTTTACAAAGGCAGTTTCTGTCCAAGGAATCATAAGCTGTTTTGAAATGGACAAATAAGGCCCGCACTTGTTTTTCTAGATGAAGATCACGCCTTCTTCTGAATCAAGCTTAATGGTAGCCTAATATATTTTATAATATGGATCTATCCAGTGTATTAGGATATTGTTTATCTTTTAAGCAGCAGGATGAAGTGCCTCTGTAGTTGTTGCATACATACATGGAACCTTTCTTCATTATTCTCTAGGATAGGGCAGATTAGGTCTCTGTTCCAAGTACCTAATATCTTTTCCTTTCCCCATCTTTACTAGATTGGTTGTATTAGCTGGGTCTTAGGTCTTCTCCCTCATTTTTAAACAGCTTTGATGGTAGGTTGCCCATCCCAGAGGCCTTTCTTATTTTAATCCTATCGACAGCTATTTCGTAGGACTTCTGTATATCCCTAGCCTGGCAGTTGTCCTCAATGGTTTGCTATAATTCTTTGAGGACACTTTCTGCCGACCTTATAATTTTGATTGTCTTTTTATTGGGGCCGTTTAATTGTCCAGAACAGCTCGTTCAGTTTTGGCTAGGCAGAGGAATTTCTTCATATCTCTTCGCTTGTTACTGTGAAATACTTTTCCAGCTTTCCTTTTTCTCAATACCTTATTCTTGTACTAATATTTTAAGACATATAAACAGCTATGAAATATTATAGTGATGAAATAAAATAAATTATTGTTACTTGTAGGTGGAGTAGGTATGAATATATATACAATATATACATATATATATATATATATATATATATATATATATATATATATATATATATATATATATATATATATATATATATATATATAAATTTATGTTTATTTTTTCAGCTATAGAAATAACACCAGGCCCTGGACACTACAAAGATCAAACAATGTATATAGCACCTAGGTCAAAAAGTGCTTATTTATATGGCCGTCGGGAAGACAAAAAACGCTTTGAAACACCCGTGGCGGTAGGAGAACTAACATACATGGGAAACAACCGACCTGCTGCCTATTTGTAAGTTTCAAAGAAGTTTTTATTTTTTATTTTTACTATTAGGTTGCAAATAGTATAGAATCTTAACGAAGTGTTATCATTGATTCCGTTTTTTTTTTTGGGGGGGGGTGCTCCATGATTCATTCACGAGAGGTGGAGAGGGAGACTGATGAGGTAAAAGCGGATCTGATTACCCATATCTTACGACCAATAAATATTCCTAATTTCCATTAAAAATAAACAGTTTTTCATTACCCTAAATGTTTATAAATCATATTCGTAAAAGCAAAAAACATTTTTTTTTAAATATTATAAAAAACAATAAATAAATAAAAAGTTTTACTTTTTATATATTAGTTAATTTGTTTAGGCTTTAAGGCGTAAAACGCCAGGTCAACAACGCCTGTGAGTCGGTTATATTTGTAAACTATTTAGAAGATAACCAATAAAAAAAAAGAATGAATATCTGAAATTAATAATAGATAGAATAATAAATGAAAAAGACATTTAAAAACATATACAAAATGAAATATATTTTAATAAATAAAAAAACAACAAAAACAAAGCACATTAAAAAAAATATATATTTATTTCTATATTTTATTTAATAGTCTATGGATTTTTAGAAACTTTGTTAGTGTTTTTGTGTTTGATTAGTTATTGTTTAATGCTACTGATATATTCGGTTATAGAGACAATCGATTTAAGCTTGAAGTATAATAAGGGCATTCCTGGAAAATATGATTGATATAGAGAGGGCTATTTATTGCTGTGTTGACAATTTGATGGTGGCTGCTTAGTTATGTGATGTAAATGAGTTATATTTGTATGTCCTATTCTTAACCTGGTCACAGCGACCTCCTCTCTACGATAAGAACGGTTTGGTGTGATACAGGGCTTAACTGATTTTAAATATATTTGTCAGTTATTTTCATTTTCTTTCCAAACATGTTTATGACTTAAATGATATTTGAAATTTTATTTTTTAAATAGTTTGCTTTTAAATGTGCTTATGTCTTCTGTCAAGACAATTTTAGACGAATTTATTATTATTGTTCCGTTTTTATACAATTTTCAATGCTATAAACGATAATGGGCAAACTTTTTTCTATCAATCACATTATTAACAATGGGCCATATCCACACTACCTCGTGTCTCACTCTAAAATGATGCCAGTCTTTCTGATACGTGCAAGGACCATCATGATTGAAGTGACTTGTGTAAGTTTTTGAGGCTGTCATTTCTGACTGACCGTGTAGAGTCCGCTTTATGAAAACGATTGGAGAATAAGATCCTTCTAAAAGGTTCGTGGTGCCGTACTTTTCATTTAAACTACTCAGTCAGTACATGGCTTCCTATTGTTGTTTATTATTACTTTAACCGTTCGCATATTGAAATCACACAACTAAAAAAAACTATAAAAAAAACATAAGATTCGTGGTAGAACCCTACTTATACCATCAGATCTTTTACATCCGCTTAAAGAGAATGTCCAAAAGGAATGGCAGGACAAATGGGATAACAGTGCTTCAAGCAAACTCAAACTAAATACCTTGGCGTTCCTCTAGTAGCAACATCCGTAGAAAGGAAGTCGTCATTATCCGGTTAAGAATCTTACATGTCGCAAATTAAACGTTATAGGGATATCACAAAACACATCAATAACCTTGAGAAACGACAAAATAATAGCATTTCTGAGAAGTGTAAATGTAATAAAAGAGTTTTTTTTTCTTTTTTAATTTCTTTATTGAGTATTATAACAATCAGTCTGTTGGACATTGGTTATAGTGAGGTAGGATGACATTCACACCATATGTACAAAAAAATAAAATAAATAGAACAAAATAATAATCAAAAGTATATACAATAGACAATAAAATAAAATAACCTAAAAATAAGAAAATTAAAACTAAGAAAAAAAAAACAAAAAACACATGCATACCTATATACAATCAGGCGAGGGAACTCCTGGAGAACCCTGCGCTACTCTCCCAACCGCGTGACTGGTACTAAAGCCAGCGGAGATTGGTCGAGAGCACTTTAGCCACATACACACATGTCTTGAGTGAAGAATCTGGCCATTGCCAAAACTCCAATATATACAATCTACAAAAGGTCGCGAGGCCACTGCCGTTTCAACCTTCTTGGAGGATTATAGGGATGGGAGATGCTTGATAGGGATTGTGCAAGAGGATTTGGGTGGTAAGTAAGGTTCTGGTGAAATTTGGAGAATTTTTCTGGGATAAGGTCTAGGACAAATGGGATGTTGAGGTCATGATGTAGGGTTTTGTTGGATACATAGAAAGGATCATCGACTATTGTTCGAAGGACTTTAGACTGGATGGATTGGATGCGCTTGATGTTAGAAAATTTTGCTGATCCCCACAGTTCTAGTCCGTAAGTCCAAATAGGTTTCAGTATTGTCTTGTAGACCAGTAGCTTGTTTTCAATGGAAAGTTTAAATTTTCTGCTTAGTAGTCGGTATAGTTGGCCGTATCGTCGGTTGAGTTCTTCTCTTTTGAGTCTAGTATGCGGGTTCCAAGTTAGTCTTCGGTCTAAATGAAAGCCAAGATACCGGACTGTGTCTGAGTAAGGAAGCTGGATGGAATTAAAGAGTACTGGTGGACAGGAATTGCGTCGGAGTGTAAAGGAATATGTTGGCATTTAGATTCATTAACTTTAATGCGCCAGTTATTACACCAGTGCTCAATCAAGGTGAGGTGACTTTGGAGATTTAAGGATGCTATTTCGGGATCAGAGTTGGATGATAAGATTGCGGTGTCGTCAGCGAATGTTGCAAGAAAAGTATCGGGATGAACAGGGATGTCAGCAGTAAAGAGGATGTAAAGCACGGGACCCAAGACGCTGCCTTGTGGAACACCGGCTTTAACGGAGTAGATATTGGAAAATTCTGCTCCACAGCGAACTCGAAAGGAGCGGTCAGAGAGGTAGGATCGGAGGACTAGGTACAAGGACTGAGGTAAATGGATTTTAAGCTTGGATAGCAGTCCGGAGGGCCATACCCGGTCAAATGCCTGTACAATGTCCAGAAAGGCACCCGAACAGTATTCCTTGTTTTCTAGGGCTGAGGAAATATGATCAACAACTCGGAGTCCTTGTTGAACAGTAGAATGTTGAGAGCGAAAACCAAACTGATGGGAAGGGATATTTTGGGATTCTATAATGGGTAGGATTCCTTTCAAAAGGATCTTTTCAAAAATTTTTGAAACGATTGGGAGTAGGCTGATTGGTCTATAGGATGTTGAGCTATTGAGAGGTTTGCCTGGTTTTGGGAAAAGGATAATAGTGGAGTGTTTCCATAACAGAGGGAAGTGGGTGGTGCGTAGGATACAATTGTAGATATATGTAAGAAATATGACTGCTTTGGATGGAAGTTGTCGAAGGATTTGAGGTGTAAGGAGATCATGTACAGGAGTCCGGGGGATTAGTTTTTTTAATTGAAATTTTACTTCGGAAGGATGAATAGCTTTTGGGGGCAAGGAAAGTGGGTTTACTGATGTAATGAGTTCTTCTACTGTTACGGTGTGGGCAGGATGGGATTCCGGATGTGAAATAAATGTATTGGATAGGTGAATGGCGAACTCCTCAGCTTTATCTTCGTCAGATGCTGCCCAGGAGCCATCACCTCGTCGGAGGGGATGGGAAATGCGGTGAGGATTTAGGATTTTTGTTGTGGTTTCCCAAAGGGAATTGTCGCGAGAAGAGAGGGAGGATAGGTAGGAGTTGAAGGATTGTGATCTGAAGGTGGCTAATTCCAGTTTTAATTGTTTGCAGTAGTAATTATAGGAGCAGCGGTCGGTAGGATGTCGGGTACGTTGCCATGATAATCTGGCACGGCGTTTGGTGCGGATTAGGTTAAGGAGGTGTTGGGGTAGAATGGTCTTTATAGGAATTCTGGAGGAGTCTTTTGGGAAGGAGGCAGACCAGGCGGCTTGTTGGATTGTGGTAGTAAAGGAATTTACGGCACTATCAAGGTCATCGGGAATTTTGAGGGATATGTTGAGATCAATATTATCGGAGATTATTTGGCGGAAAAGGTCCCAGTTTACTGGGCCTCTAATGAATGACGGTGGAGAAGGTTTGGGAACGGGTTCAAGTGAAACATTAAGGATTAGAGGACTATGGTCAGAGGAAAGTTCATTTAGACGTGTAATGGAACAATTGAGGAGACTTAAGCCGCTGTGGATAAAGAAATCAAGAAGATCAGAATTACGGTTGATATCTGTGGGCCAGTAGGTAAGAGAGTTGGGGGAAAGGAGGTGAAAACGTTGGGAATTGAGTGCAGACAGCAGGGTTCGGCCACGAGAATTCGTGGTTCTGGAACCCCATTGTTGGTGCTTGGCATTTAGGTCTGCACCCAAGATGAAGTGATGTCCTAAGGAGTCGAGAACTGAATTGGACATTGGATATGGATCGGTTAGGAGGGCAATACGCTGATGCAAGAGTAACCGGAAAGGAGAAGGTTTTTATCACGATAGCGGTGGACTGTAGGAAATCATGTATAGGTAATGGGAGTACGTGATGGGAGAGGGATTGGTGTACAATTACAGCAGTACCGACATGTGCTTTTCCGTCAGGGTGGTCAGTAAGATATGGCAGGTATTGTGGTATATTGAAGTGCTGTTTAGTGGTTAGTTGAGTTTCAGTAATTAGTGCCACATCAATGTTCTTGTCAAGTAGTAAAGTAGATAGTTCGTCTGTATGATTTCTAACACCATTCGCATTCCAAAGGAGAATGGATATGGGTTTAGGGATGTGAGTCATTTAAGGATTTTTCAAAGGAGGAATGAGGTGAGATAGGAGATTCGTGAGGAGTGATATGAGTGGAGTAACAAGGGATTTGAAATCGGTGAGGAAAGATGCTAACAAACTTGTGAGATCTGTTGCATTTGAAGGAGGAGGAATATGAGGAATTTGTTGTTGGTGGTTAGGTATATTAGGATGAAGAGGATTTTGAGGTTGGGGTTGAGGTTGTTGTTGTGGCAGGGCTTGACATTTATCGGTTAAAGTCTTACCTCTAAGTAGTTGGGAGAATGATACATCATTGTTTACAATTCTGGAAGGCTCTCTCTCTCTTCTTGTTCTTAGTGCTTCATCTTGAATCCGGTTTTTCTGGTGTCTAGTTTTGAGATTCTTGTAAATTTGGCAGCCTTTGTAGTTGGCCGGGTGTCCCTCCAAGCATAGGGCACATACTGCTGGATCTTGTATAAGTTTGGTGCACTCTACAGATTTGTGCTGTTCACCGCACTTCACGCAACGCGGCAGATGGTGGCAATATGTCTTCGTGTGGCCATAGGTCTGACAATTATGGCACTGCACGATGTCTCTCTTGGGGTATGGCTTCTCAACTTTCACCATTGTGTAGTATATTCTTGTGATATCATATATTTTTTCGATACCTGGTGATGGCTCCAAGTCCACGAAAAACAATGGTAGTGGGATCCTATTTCGTAATCGTGGCTGCCCCCTGTCCTCCTTCAAAACGTTTGTTACCTGGCGTACATTGAAACCAAGCGTCGTTAGTTCTTCTTTAATAACTTCAGTGGGGGTTGAGGAGTGTAAATTTCTTATCACTACTCGTAAAGCTCTTTCCTGCCTCAGCTGGTAAGTGTGAAAATTCGCATTTGTTTCTGATAAGTACTTCACTATTTTTCGGTAGGCTTCTGCAGAATCAGGTGTTATTTTGGTGTCATTGGTCCTGTTAAGGCATGAATAACTGCCAGAGCAGATTTGATTTAGTAGGGTGCAGAACATCTGGAAATTTTTTATATTTTTCACAAATATCGGAGGAGGCTTTGGTTCTCTGGGTATTGCTGCAGACTCCATTACTTCTCGGTCATTTTGAAGCACTTGGTAGGGGTTTGGAGTAAAGAAAGGCGATTCTTCAATCGTTTCTTGTGCAGACGTACCTGGTTGGGGCAGAGGTTCTGGTTCTGAAGTGTTCATTTTGGTCACTGGAGGTATTTCTCGTAGGCAGCGACGAGTCCTTTGTTTAGCTGGTGAGCTAACTCCGTCTGACCGAGACCTCTTGGGCACCTTACTGGCCATCACTTGCTGATCATACCGCATATCATAAGAGAAAAAAAAAAAGAAAAAAAATTTTTTTTTCTTTAAATAACAAAAAAAAAAGATGTCAACAGTAAATATCAACTGCTCTGATATACACTTTAACTGTATTACGTGAATAATCAGAGAGATTCCGCTATAAAATTGACAAAAACTGAATAAAAGAGTTAAAAATTAATTTTTATTTATCATTTTATTTTATTTATTTTTCCCTTTATATATGTTTTCTATATATACTTTATATATATATATATATATTTCCTATAGATACTTGCTCGTATAGTACTGAACCCAAGACCCTTGGAAGGTTGTAGTGGTACAGGATTTTTTTTTTTCATATACATTTAATTTAATTTTATTATTTCTTTATTTTTTATTAAACCAATCTGCAAAACATTTTAATAATAATATTTTATTCATCGGGCGCTTATGACCATGATGTTATGCGCCTAAGATATCAAAACAACCAACAAACAAAAAGATTTTCTCTGGAAATGTTTAGAACCTAATAATATATATATATATAAATGTAATATACATCTACTAATATTAACTATTTTTACTAACGTGTTGCACTTTTACATTTTATTAATTTAAAACTTCTTATAACTTATCTAGTCAACAAGCAATTATTTTTCATTGTATCAGTAATATATTTCTTTAAATATTTTGAACCCGCCCACAATTTTTCACACAGTAATTAATTTTATACCATGAAAATGTTATGCAGCCAATTACTTTTACTATAACTTCTCTACACATGAAAATACCACATTTTACTCAAGGTAGAGTAAAATTGCACTAAAATTTTATTATTATTATTATTTGTGAAAAGTAAGTAGTTTTTTAAGACGTTTTTATGTTTCAGGGTTGGAAAGCCTATATCACCCAAACCATTTAGTTATCCGTCACCGCTATCCTATGCCCCTGTCAAGAACGACGTCTTCCTGACCAAAGCCCCCTCGTTCTCCATGGGCTACAATAGACAGCCATCTAACAAAAGTACCGCCATGTTCCCAACGGTAGGAACATACAATCCTAACTATGACTACTTCCTGAAAAAACGGAACGTCATTATACCGACCAGTACCGGAAGTTGTTTACGGGTTCCGATGGACTTACCAGAGAAGCGCAAGAAAACAAACTACCAATGAACCCATATTTTGATCAATAAACATGCATCTAAAAAAATTTTAAAGTGGTTTTATTTCAACAATCAAACAAAAAGAATTTAATTTTTAATTTTATATTTTTTCAATAATTTCTCATTCAGTGTTTTTAATTTTTTGTTTGTGATTATATGACCGTGGAGAGACTTTCAATAATTGTAAATAATTCTGAAATCTGTACACACTTATGCTATCATTACTCTGCACAGAAAATATTGCATGTAAATTCTTATATATCGAATGATTTATTGGTCAATAAACAAGTGTTTCAGTCATTTAAATATTATTTTTTTTACAGAACAGCGTCTGGAAGTTTTCGTTTTATATTCAGGTCCAAATCTTATCATAATAAAAAAAAAATAAATATCGTAATAAACAGGATATGAATGTATAAATTGAAATCGTAGTGCCTTGATTTTTTTTTTTTTTGTTTCTGCATATATGTGATCTTAATTTTTCAGTTGTAATGATGTATGAATAGGCGAAACGTTACCTGGCCAACTGTTCATCTCTTTGTTAGAGACTGAAGGCTTTAAGTTGCGTTTTGATTTTTCCATTTTTAGAAATGGTTCTAAGATAAAAGAAAAGATATAAAGGTATGGGAGTAAAGATTGGAATCATTGCCTATTCAATCGCAGGTTGCTGACAACCAGGTGCTTATCGCTTCAGAATCAGTAGATGTAAAATATTTAAGGAAAATATAATCTTCAGGAAAACTCAAGATTTTTGCTAAGGCTGAGGGCTAGAAGTCAGCAAAGAAAAAACGCTGTATATGGCCTTTAATAGCCAGGGCGAATATGTACAATTGGTCGATTTGAATGTTGAAACCTGAAACTCAATTTAAGTATCAAGAAATGTGAGTTGATATGACAGGAACAACAGACATAGTCCTGGAGCACGTGGCAAAAAAGGTGTCATGTTTTGTACTAAGGTTTGTCCTTATAAATTGACCATATCCAAAGACCTGATGAGAAAAATACACGTCTGCCAGCATATAACCGCTGGAATACAAAATGACGGCCAGGTGAACATAGATAGAGACTCTATATAGGTAGTAAACGTAGAAGTCTTAAAGGTATATAAAGCTACTAATCCTTTCAATTTATAGTATTTACAGTTTTAAGACATGAAATAATCAGTTATCCCATACCCGTGGATTTTAAGTCGAAAAATTGAATTTATGGTTCAAAAGTTAACTTTTTTCGGTTTTTCGCTTATATCAGTTAAACTATGTGGTCTATCTATAATGATGTCGTATGTGAAATTAAATCTGATAAAATTTTCAATAGAAATAGTTATAATAGTTTTTTCACTTTATTTTATTCTATTCTATTCTATATATATATATATATATATATATATATATATATATATATATATATATATATATATATATATATATATATATATATATTTCAACAAAATATAATGAAAAAAAAAATCGAAACTTACCACTGGTTTAGAATTTGTTAAATATTACTTTTTTTATAAAATAAATCTAATGTTATATTTTTTTCAGACATTGCTTAAAATTTAATATCATTTAAAAAAAATACTTCCGTCAAACAAAAATTAGAAAAATATATATTTTACTAAAAAGTCGCCGAAACATCTCTAACGTTAAATACATAATAATAATAATTTTTTTAATACATAATTTTAGTATCGTACGACTTTTCGTTTTTAAGCTACCTGTTATAAAACAACCAGACTTTTATGAAAAACTTGATTTTTTTTACTTAAGGTATCTTGAAACATAAGTTTTTATTGATTTTTTTTTTCACAATTGCAATACTTTCCTTTACTATATATAACTTCATATATAGTTAAATGAAAGTAAAAAATAAATAAAAATAAAGGTTTATTACAATTATTATAATTCAACACATAGCTCAAAAAGAGTACTAAAGTAATTAGTATGACACTGATTTTCTTCACAGTATCGAATTTTAGGATCCGATAATTACCTTCCTGTTGCTTAGGTTCTTTTCAATGTCAATGTTCAATGCCCGTGGCAAAAAAGCTGTCATATTTCATACTAAGGTTTATCCTTATAAATTGAACATAACCACAGGCTTCCTGAGAAAAATGCACGTTTGTCAGAATATAGCCGCTGGAATCCAAAATGGCGGCCATGTGAAGATAGATAAAGACCATACATAGCTAGATTATATAAACAACAATAATAACGCCACCAATTTCGAAGATGTGGATGAGGAATCCTTTCCTACGAAGTCAGCGAATAGGCACGTACTGTTTTTTTTTTTTTTCTTTTCAAGATTCTTATGAAATTAATCATTCTGTAACTTTAGAAATTTCCTCTGTCTCTTCTCATTTCATAAAACCAGACACAATTGTGAATAACATACTTTTCGTGTAATAAAGTTTCACGAAAATGATTTGTTTTGTTTGAAATGATGTTAATAAACTATTGGGCTTTTTCAATAATTCTTTTCAGGATAGACAACATTAACAGATTAAAATGTTTTTCAAATTGATTGAAACTCTTGTCTACCAAAGTAAGTATGTAGCCCGTGCCAAAAATGTGTCATATTTCATATTAAGGTTTGCTTTTCTAAATTTACCATATCCACAGGCCTGATGAAAAAAATGCACGTGTGTCAGCATATAGCAGCTAGAATACAAAGTGCTTACCAGGTGGAGATAGATAGAAACCCTATATAGGTAGTAAACATATATATATATATATATATATATATATATATATATATATATATATATATATATATATATATATATATATATAGATATACATAACTCCGAAAGTCACAGACTCCGACAGGTATACATAACTCCGTAAAGATATATATATATATATATATATATATATATATCACTAGCGGATCTAGGATTTAGTTTGGGGGGGGGGGCTTCAGCCCGAAAGCTTTTTTTTAATAAAAATAACGATAATTACTTTGGAAAAAAAGAAAGAAACTACGTATAAGAAATGGTGTTTAAATAAATAAAAATAAAGGTTTATTACAATTATTATAATTTAACACATAGCTCAAAAAGAGTACTAAAGTAATTAGTATGACACTGATCCTAAAGTTCTTTTAAATGTAATTACACGAGCAATAATACTTTAAGAGATAATTTTTTAATATTGTTTCCATAAAACTTGGTTATATTTTACCATTTTGGGGGAGGGGGGGCTTCAGCCCTAAAGCCCCTCCCCCCCCCACCGTAGATCTGCCAGTGATATATATCTCAGACAGATATATATAACTCCGAAACTAAAAAAAAGAATAACTTATTTTTCGCAATTTTCAATATTACTCAGCTATACACTGGCTTACATAATATACATATATATGTACTGTCTTACATACAGATTAGGAGCTGCGTAATAACGAAAATTGCTAAAAGTAAGTTATTCTGTATAATTTCGGAGTTTAATCATTAAATTATAATTTCTCTAGCCTTTAAATGGTTGAAGATTAGATATTAAAGTAATACATAATCTTAAAGAAAATTTAATATTAAACAACTTTTCCCCATGACTTTTTCGTGGAAAGAATAGATAAAGAGTTGGCTACCCAAATAATGATAAATATGCGATGCAAACATTTTTTTTTTCTCTCGAAATTAGTGAATTACGAGGGGGGATATCACGGAAACTATAAAATAAAGTGAAAAAACTATTATAACTATTTCTATTGAAAAGTTTATCAGATTTAATTTCACATACGACATCATTATAGATAGACCACATAGTTTAACTGATATGAGCGAAAAACCGAAAAAAGTTAACTTTTTGAACCATAAATTCAATTTTTCGACTTAAAATCCACGGGTATGGGATAACTCTGATTATTTCATGTCTTAAAACTGTAAATACTATAAATTGAAAGGATTAGTAGCTTTATATATCTTTAAGACCTCTACGTTTACTACCTATATAGAGTTTCTATCTATGTTCACCTGGCCGTCATTTTGTATTCCAACGGTTATATGCTGGCAGACGTGTATTTTTCTCATCAGGTCTTTGGATATGGTCAATTTATAAGGACAAACCTTAGTACAAAATATGACACCTTTTTTGCCACGTGCTCCAGGACTATGTCTGTTGTTCCTGTCATATCAACTCACATTTCTTGATACTTAAATTGAGTTTCAGGTTTCAACATTCAAATCGACCAATTGTACATATTCGCCCTGGCTATTAAAGGCCATATACAGCGTTTTTTCTTTGCTGACTTCTAGCCCTCAGCCGTAGCAAAAATCTTGAGTTTTCCTGAAGATTATATTTTCCTTAAATATTTTACATCTACTGATTCTGAAGCGATTAGCACCTGGTTGTCAGCAACCTGCGATTGAATAGGCAATGATTCCAATCTTTACTCCCATACCTTTATATCTTTTCTTTTATCTTAGAACCATTTCTAAAAATGGAAAAATCAAAATATATATATAAGGCTGTTTTTAATTTATTTTTTATTGCAAAAACATTTTTATATACCTACCATATCTTTTTCTCAAACTTAGAAAAAAAGAATCAATTTACAGTAAAAATGAGTAATATTGATATTATAGATATGTTGATATTAAGTAAGTAATGTGAATCATTTTTAAATCCAAAAAATTTACTTTATAATACATTAAAAGGCTTATGTGCCAATTCCCAACACACTTCGTCAGTCTAAACTGGGCCAGTTAGATAATTAAACGTTAGCCCACAGCCTAACAGAATTCTAATAATATTATTATGTTGACCACATTATTTTTAAAATTCTCTTAAATCATAAGTTTTTTAATATATTTTAAAATTAAATATTAATTATCTAACTAAATAATACTTATAAATAAATGATTGGAGCAACTTTTGGAAATTTCGACTTCATCTTGACAAGTCGAACACTATACAGTAACTCATTACTTTCACTCTTCAACATGAAACTTGTGTTCCGATTCACCTCGACAATGGCCATACTCCTTCAACAAAGTGCAGTATCTTGAACTGGTATTTGACAGAAGGATGGCACG